GACACTGAAGACTGGAGTAATGATGCTGAAAATTCAGCTTTGATCGCAGAAATAAATTATATTTTAAAATATGTTACAATAGAAAACAATTATTTTGAATTGTAAAAATATTTGATGTATTTTTGATCAAATAAATGCAGCCTTGGTGAGCAGAAGAGACTTCTTTCAAAAACATGACATAATCTTACTGACCCCAAACTTTTGAACGGTGGTGTAAGTGAACATTATATTCAGAGTGGATTGCTAGCATGCTGTTTACTGTAATAGTATGTGATACAGAACATATTATGCAATAATAAGCTCTTATACAGTAATATGCCATTATTTTGCATTGATGTTTTCCGTTGTTTTGCATTTTTAATGCAATTTAAAATGTGAAAATCAAGTCAAGTACATTGCATTGTGAGATACAGTATGCTGTGATCATGTACTAAACATGTTGGCGAATGCACATCATCCGAGTATTCCATGCATGCATAATATTCACAAACTGTATACAGTATGCTACAAAAATAGCATGAGTAGCATGCTATTCTGAACATATCGCTCATCAAATACTGAGATCCTCCACTTCTGCTGCTCTCCAGAGACGCAAACTGAAGGTCAGATCTTCATACTAGTGGCCAAACTGAATATTTGCTCTTAACGAAATGAAAATCATAAGTGCTTCCAGCTGTTTTTACGGCTTCAGGAGGAGAAGTTGTGCCATATTTCTGGGATGATGAAAGTGTTTCTCTCCAGATTATTCAGTGAGATCAAGTGAGACGTTAATGAAAAGAAAAGCCTGCATTAGCTACTTGATCCAAGCACACGCTGCTTATTAAACAGTTTAAATATGGAAACACACACTCATACTCTTATGCAATGACATTGAGATATTTTTAAGTGTGCAAACCTTTTTTTGGGATCGCTGTGCATGCTGCATTTTTAATGCAATTTAAAATGTGAAAATCAAGTCAAGTACATTGCATTGTGAGATACAGTATGCTGTGATCATGTACTAAACATGTTGGCGAATGCACATCATCCGAGTATTCCATGCATGCATAATATTCACAAACTGTATACAGTATGCTACAAAAATAGCATGAGTAGCATGCTATTCTGAACATATCGCTCATCAAATACTGAGATCCTCCACTTCTGCTGCTCTCCAGAGACGCAAACTGAAGGTCAGATCTTCATACTAGTGGCCAAACTGAATATTTGCTCTTAACGAAATGAAAATCATAAGTGCTTCCAGCTGTTTTTACGGCTTCAGGAGGAGAAGTTGTGCCATATTTCTGGGATGATGAAAGTGTTTCTCTCCAGATTATTCAGTGAGATCAAGTGAGACGTTAATGAAAAGAAAAGCCTGCATTA